GTTGCACTCATGCTCTGGTTCAGCCTCTCATTGCTCAAACTTAACACCCCAAAATCAAATTCACCATGGAAACGGAAACAAACAACTACCATTCCTAGATGTACTAATCTACAAAAAAACAGATGGCACACTAGGACACACCATATACCAGAAGAAAACACACACCAACTGCTACCTCAACACCCAATCCCACCACCACCCAGCACAGATAAACTCCGTGGCCAAAACACTAATTGCCAGAACCAAACGCCTGGCAGACAAGACACACATAAAGACTGAACTATGCATCCTGACTAAAGTACTGACAGCCAACGGCTTCCACAAAAGCAAAATCACAGGCCTGATCCACAAAAACACACTGAGACATAATGGAGACCTAGAAGATGGACAGACCTATGGAACAGCTACCCTGCCCTACATAAGAGGTACTACAGACAAAATCAGTAAGATACTACACAGGAATCACATCAAGACTGCCTCCAAAACAGACAGAAAAATAGCAGCCATCCTAAGAAACTCCAAAGATAAAACTGACCTGGAAAACGAAGGCATATATGAAGTCCCCTACGCATCATGCCCTGCCACATACATCAGACAGACCAATAGAAGAATAAGTACCTGTCTTGATGAACACAAAAATGCAGTAAAAAAGCTGGAACACACTTCCTCACTAGTCCAACACATGAAAGCCACAGGTCATAGCATCAACTTCAATGGCACCAAAACCCTAGCCGCTATAGAAAACCCCAGCTACAGAATTATCAGAGAAGCTATAGAGATTGAAAAACGACCTGAAAGCATGAATAGGAGAGATGACTCCACCAGACTGTCAAATTATCTGGAAGCCTGCACTCACAAACAAAAAAAATCTCACCACAAGCCAGGCAAATACCTGGGCACAAACAGACCTGATACCTCCAGCCCAAACACACCCCAGCCAGCCACCCAGATGAAACCTAGCTTCCTAATAAACAATAGCCAGCCATTCACCAGAAGCCAAGCCATGCTGAAAGCCCCCAATACACTAAACACAATGTTGCCAGATAATTTTTGTTTTTAAGACAAAAAATGCTACAAAACAGACAGAAGATATTAGAAACGCCAGTCAAGCAGAACACAGCAAACTCCAAGACCAATAAACACAGACCAAGACTCCCAACCAATCAGGATGAAGAAAAAACCATTCTGGCACAGCAGTAGGCTAGCCCCAAATTTAAAACAGAAATGGCTGTGAAAGTCTGACTCACAGACGAACACAATACAGAAGCCTGATGATGGCAGATGAGATTCTGTTAGTGTTTGGGGACAAACCCCCAAGCAGAGTGCACAGCAGCAGTCAAGCCAGGCAGCCAAATGAGAGAGAGGCTGGGCCCAAGAGTATACACACACTGGAGACAAAACACTGTTTGTAGTTTTAAATAGTTATTTAATTCATTTAGAATTTAAGCAGTGTCAATCAGTCCATATGTCAGTAATCCAATATATCCATCCAGTAACTTAGTTCATTAAACTAGTCAGTATTATGTCCTTATCTGCTTGTACATCTTCTCCTCCCGATACCTTTCTCTCGAAGACAACGCTGAGTATGCACAGGATATCAGCTCACCAAGTAAACAGTCTTTTTGTTCAGTAGAAACGGTATCCAGCACAGTAGCCAACAAGCAGACGTCTCATACAGGAGTAAACAGCAGGCAGCAGACAGCAGGGAGAGAGACCAGCGACCAGTAACCAGAGACCAGACCAGCGACCAGTAACCAGGAACCAGAACAGTAACCAGGAAGTGTTACGTTTCTCTTACTGCCTTATATTGCTGCTTGCAACCGCACCCTTAATTATCTAATTACATTGCAGTTTGGTGCTTAAAGCTACAAACACTTAAACCTAGGTTTATATATTTAGTCACCCAAACCTAGTTGGTGTATCCATATACCCAACAGATTCTGCCCAAACGTTGCTACAACTTTAAAAACACAACTATAATGACGTGGGAAAATACCCGAACAAAGCTGAATACCATACATGTAAGTACCCACGAAAACTTAAGAAAACAAATATATATAAATTCTGTACATACATTTTTATTTCTTTTGCACATAACAGTCCCAGAAAATGTCAGAGCATGTTTGGTTGCTTTATTCTTGGTTTCCGTTTCTTTTAGAACTTTTAGCATTTAGTTATCCCCCATGAGGCTAAAATTGAAAATGCACTTTTTGTGAAAGAAATGGAACAAAGAAAGGAAAAGAGAAATCCCATTAAATTATTGGGGGCAGGTCGAGGAAGGAAGGTCACAGATGTTTTGACAAAACATAAACACAAATTGAGGCTCAAGGTCCACATGTGAAGGACAAATGCACTTTGAACAAGACAAAAATCCTTCCCCTCCAGTAGTGGAAAAACAGGTGATTGCTTTGAATCTCACTGCAGGGCTTGCCTCTTAAGAGGTGCCCACCATGTATTCCAGTGTTGAGAGGTATATTCATCAGCTTTCCTCCTTACCCTGATGCCCTCTTCCCTCCCCAACGCTTCAGCCAATCTACCTCCATGTTCAATAAGGGTGGATTTAATACATCCACACCTGCTGTCCCCACAGCTGAAAGGCTGCATGCAATGTTCCCACTGAGCTTTTAAACGGTCCTTGCTATTTCTTTGCACACACTTTCTCATGAGGTGGTACACTTTTTTCTGCACTAGTATTCTTGCTGCCCTGCTGGACCCTTCCTTCAATTCCCTACTCTCTGAGGAAGAAATAAGGAGAATTCCTAACTCTTCAGTGCTCTAAGAGAATAAAAGTTAGGTTCATTTCTTTTTTGCTGTTGGGGGGGATGGCACTCATCACTAAACATGAAAACAATGATTCATGGGGACATGGCAACACCCTTTACAACTAAGAAATATACTTTCTGTACTAAGAGGTTATGGACTCTGCATAATGACTTTTCTTTCTCCTACAGCATTCCATATCCCCTGCACTTCTATATTATTTTTGTAGTCCCAGTTGTGTTTTGCAATAGCCACCGGCCCTATCTTTAATCTTGCTTTCCTGCCTCTTGGGTGACCCTTGGGAGGTGGAGCAGTTCGTACCTAGGGCCATATTTGGCATGGAACATCCAGTTATGAATCCCTACTCTAAAGTTTTGCCTTTGGAGGAGGTATTTCTAAAGAAAAAAACTAACACACCAGCTTCCCACTTTCTTCCTGTCTGTTTCACCTTTAATGCAAGCCAGACTGTGATTACCTTAATTCAAGTATTTTGGCACTTAACACTGCTAAAAGATCAGACTCCTCTCTTATCTCTTAAACTGCTTTTTGTGACAAATCCATTTGTCAACTTACTAGCCAGCTTTTTCTTTTTTTGCTACTGTAATGTTATTGGGAAGAGGGGTATATTTTTACTCCCCCATCTTCCCTTGTTCTTTGTCATATGCTTTCTGTTGAAAAAAAACATTTACTCTTACCTCATTCAAGATGCCGTGGGAACTGTTACTTGATGGGTTGGGTGCATGTTTGGATGTACCATCTGAAGGTTCAGAGCCCAGCACATGGAGAACACAGCTCCAATTTAAACTATATATGTATGTATGTTTTTAATTAGAAAAATCTATGTATGAGTCTACACAAAAAAGAAAAACCACACAAACAAAATTGGGGTTGGAAAAAAGTAATGCTTTGTTGTATTGATTTTTGCTTTGTTTTTTATCACTTTTAAATTACATGGGGTTAAATGTGGAACTGATTTCTGGGCATGAATTGAAGGAAGCCTGGAGTACAAATGCCAGAAGTCATGTTGGATAATATTCAAGGCAATGCCTGTTCCTCTGTTCCATGTAGTCATCAATTGTGATGTTGAATACAGAACTTAACAGTCTGTTTTTTAAAAAAAGCAAGTTTCTAACTTGTATGGCGATGAAGATAGGCTATAAAGCCTAATGAAATCTCAAAAAGAACTTAAGTGGGATTTCCAGTGGTGTGGAGTATACAACTCTAGTGCACAAAAAGAATAT